GACAAGATTTTGAAGTAGTTCAAAATATAACAATCAAAGAAAGAGTTCTTGTCTGTGTTACAAGGTGTGAAATTGAGTAAGACTCAAAACCCGACCACGACAGAAGATAGAAAGAGAATGAAAGTAATTCCCTATGCCTCAGCCATAGGTTCTATGAAGTATGCCATGCTATGTACCAGATCTATTGTATACCCTACACTAATTTTGGCAAGGTAGTACAATAGTGATCTAGGAGTAGATCACTGGACAGCGGTCAAAATTATCCTTAGTGGAATAAGGATATGTTTCTCGATTATGGAGGTGACAAAAAGGTTCATCGTAAAGGGTTACGTCGATGCAAGTTTTGACACTAATCCAGATGACTCTAAGTCTCAATCTGGATACATATTGAAAGTGGGAGCAATTAGCTAGAGTAGCTCTGTGCAGAGCATTGTTGACATAGAAATTTGCAAAATACATACGGATCTGAATGTGACTGACCCGTTGACTAAACTTCTCTCACAAGCAAAACATGATCACACCTTAGTACTCTTTGGGTTTTAATCGCATACCGATGTGAACTAGATTACTGAATCTAGTAAACCCTTTGGGTGTTGGTCACATGAAGATGTGAACTAATCACATAAAGATGTGAACTATTAGTGTTAAATCACATGGTGATGTGAACTAGATTATTGACTCTAGTGCAAGTGGGAGACTGAAGGAAATATGCCCTAGAGGCAATAATAAAGTTATTATTTATTTCCTTATATCATGATAAATGTTTATTATTCATGCTAGAATTGTATTAACCGGAAACATAATACATGTGTGAATACATAGACAAACAGAGTGTCACTAGTATGCCTCTACTTGACTAGCTCGTTAATCAAAGATGGTTATGTTTCCTAACCATGGACAAAGAGTTGTTATTTGATTAACGGGATCACATCATTAGGTGAATGATCTGATTGACATGACCCATTCCATTAGCTTAGCACCCGATCGTTTAGTATGTTGCTATTGCTTTCTTTATGACTTATACATGTTCCTATGACTATGAGATTATGCAACTCCCGTTTGCCGGAGGAACACTTTGTGTGCTACCAAATGTCACAACGTAATTGGGTGATTATAAAGGTGCTCTACAGGTGTCTCCAAAGGTACATGTTGGGTTGGCGTATTTCGAGATTAGGATTTGTCACTCCGATTGTCGGAGCTGGGCCCTCTCGGTAATGCACATCACATAAAGCCTTGCAAGCATTGCAACTAATGAGTTAGTTGTGAGATGATGTATTACGGAACGAGTAAAGAGACTTGCCGATAACGAGATTGAACTAGGTATTGAGATACCGACGATCGAATCTCGGGCAAGTAACATACCGATGACAAAGGGAACAACGTATGTTGTTATGCGGTCTGACCGATAAAGATCTTCGTAGAATATGTAGGAGCCAATATGAGCATCCAGGTTCCGCTATTAGTTATTGACCGGAGACATGTCTCGGTCATGTCTACATTGTTCTCGAACCGTAGGGTCCGCACGCTTAAGGTTTCGATGACAGTTATATTATGAGTTTATGAGTTTTGATGTACCGAAGGAGTTCGGAGTCCCGGATGAGATCGGGGACATGACGAGGAGTCTCGAAATGGTCGAGACGTAAAGATCGATATATTGGACGACTATATTCGGACATCGGAAAGGTTCCGAGTGATTCGGGTATTTTTCGTAGTACCGGAGAGTTACGGGAATTCGCCGGGGAGTATATGGGCCTTATTGGGCCATACGGGAATAGAGGAGAGAGTCCAAAAGGAAGGAGGCCTGCGCCCCCCCTTCTGGTCCGAATTGGACAAGGGGCGCAGCCCCCTTTTCCTTTTTCCTCTCCCCCTCTTTCCCCTTCTCCTACTCCAACAAGGAAGGAAGGAGTCCTACTCCCAGTGGGAGTAGGATTCCCCTTGGCGCGCCCCCTTCTAGGCCGGCCGCCCCCTCCCCCTTGCTCCTTTATATACGGGGGCAGGGGGGCACCTCTATACACACAAGTTGATCTTCGTGATCGTTCCTTAGTCGTGTGCGGTGCCCCCCTCCACCATATTTCACCTCGGTCATATTATAGCGGTGCTTAGGCGAAGTCCTGCGACGGTAGAACATCAAAATCGTCACCACGCCGTTGTGCTGACGGAACTCCTCCCCGACGCTTTGCTGGATCGGAGCCCGGGGATCGTCATTGATATGAACTTGTGCCAAGAACTCGGAGGTGCCGGAGTAACGGTGCTTGGATCGGTCGGATCGTGAAGACGTACGACTACATCAACCCCGTTGTCACAACGCTTCCGTTGTCGATCTACAAGGGTACGTAGATCACACTCTCCCCTCTCGTTGCTATGCATCACCATGATCTTGCGTGTGCGTAGGAAAAATTTTGAAATTACTACGTTCCCCAACACATAGATCAAGCCTTGATCATTAAAAATATTTTGTCGGGCTATGAGGTGGGAACTGGTCAGCTTCTGAGCCCCGATAAGTGTTCGATCAAGTTTGGCAAAAAATGTAGTACGGAGGATCAGGTGGCCACTATGGTCATTCTTAATATCACTGCAGAAGGGTTTGACGATAAGTACCTTGGCTTACCGGTATCTGAGGGTAGAATGAAGGTTGGTAAGTTCCAATCAACAAAAGACAAGGCATTAAAAAGAGCTTCAAACTGTATTGAAAAATATGTCTCCAGTGGTATAAAAGGAAATCAAATAAAGGCAGTTTTGCAAGCGCTCCCAGTGTACGCCATGGGTATTTTTAAATTTCCGGCTTCATTATGTGATGAGTTATCTTAGATTATAAGAAACTTCTGGTGGGGGGACGAAGATGACAGAAGGAAAACTCATTGGCTAGCATGGGATAAACTCACAAAATCTAAAAGAGAGGGAGGCATGGGTTTCCGAGATCTTAGATTGTTTAATCAAGCTCTCTTGGCTAAACGGGCTTGGAGGTTGCTAGTGAATCCAGAATCTTTATGTGCTAAGGTTTTGAAGGTGAAATACTATCCTAATGGTCACATAATGGATACTGCTTTCCCGCAGGCTACCTCCATGAATTGGCAAGGCATTGTGCACGGATTGGATCTGCTAAAAAAAGAGTGGTCGATGGAAAAAATGTTAATATCTGGAGAGATAATTGGCTACCTAGAAATTCTGGCCTTAGAGTTTTAGTCAAAAAGAACCGCACTAGACTGAAATGGGTCTCTGAATTATTCATAAGCGGAACAAGAAGATGGGATGAAAATTTAATCAGGCACCTGTTCTATAACCATGATGCTGAGGAGATCCTAAGTTTACGTATTGGGACTATAGGTGAGGGAGATCTAATTGCTTGGCACTATGAGAAAAATGGCATGTTCTCGGTTAAAAGTGCGTATAGACTGGCTTTAAACTTTCAGGATGGCAAGGGCGAGACAGGATCGTCTATTTATGCGGCTGACAAGGGAAGAAGTGTGTGGGATGTTATTTGGAAAGCCAAAGTCCCACCAAATATAAGAGTTTTTGCCTGGCGAGCTGCGTCTAACAGTTTGGTGACCCAGGTAAACAGAGTTATTCATCACCAAACGGTGTTAGGTATGTGCACTATATACGGGATGGAGGATGAAAGTACTTTCCATGCCCTTGTGTCTTGTCCAAAGGTGCATGCGTTCCGTTTCGCTATGAGAGAAGAGTGGAATATTCCTGCCGAGGAGCTTTTCAGATTTACGGGGCCGGACTGGATGTTTATTCTGCTTGATCAATTGGGGTTGCCAGAACGTGATCAAGTTTTATTCATGCTTTGGAGAGCTTGGCATCTCAGAAATGATATGATCTTCCGGAAGGGGAAAGAATCCTTACGTGCTTCTGTCACTTTTGTGGGAAATTACTGGAAATCCTTCACAAATGTCAAAAACTGTGCGCAAGTTGACTTAAGTATCAAAGGTAAGCGGGTGATTGATAATGGGAGGTACATCACACCAATCGCGAAGGTTCATCGTAATTGGGAGCCACCGGACCAAGGGTATACTAAGATAAACGTTGATGCTAGTTTTGTGGAGAGCATGAGATCTGCCAGCATTGGGATAATTGCCAGGAATCACCTTGGCGAAGTCCTGGTTTCCTCGTGGGATTTTATCAGGTTGTACACTTGTGTGGATGAAGCAGAATTTCGTGCGGCGCTCGCTGGGTTATATATTGGTATTACATTCCAAAGTCCTGTTGTTATTTTGAAGACTGACAACGCGGTTGTTGCTTTTTCTACAAAAGATTCTTTTGACAGGTTTCCTCATGGGATTCTTTTAAACATCCCCGTAGAGTCGTAAGGGGCGTCAACCATCGGGCAAGGGTGGTGAGCGATCTCATATCAAATATCATATCTCGCAGCGAGGGCATGAAGCTGAGTCGACGATGGTCTTTCGGTGGAGGTTGGCTAGGACTAGAAAAGGTAGCCTAGAAGATCTAGTAAGCATCTCGTGTTTGATGCTTGAATCCTTGCATTGTGGAGTAGTTCGTAGGCAGAATTCTTTCAGAAATAGATACAAAAAACTCTGTTTCTAATTGTGAGTAAACTGCAAAAACCTCTTAAAAGTAGTTGGTAGGTAGAAGGATCAACGTGGATGCATGTGTTGGATTCCCTCTGTATTTCTTAGTTGATGAGTTAGATGCTTGGTTTTCTGCTCTAGTGATGGAGTCATAAGTTGAGCTTCGTACAACTGAAGACTGTCCAACTGTATTTTTCCAGTGGGCAAAGAACTGAATCAGTTTACGCGTATGTATGCAGAAGAGGGCGAGAGCATCCGATGCTATGGCCTCTGGCCTCTGAGTTGGTGCTGCTATCACGCCTACAAGTTTATGTCAAGCTCTTGTGCTACAAGTTTAAGTCTGCAAGATGATGATGGAGAACTTGTTTTGCCTCCTTGAGAGACCAGAGTAAAGCTCACAAGCGATTTTCAAGCAGAGCATAAATCAAGCAGACTGCAAGATGATGATGCAAACAGGAGGGGAGCATATCATGAGAATATGTAACGCAATGCGGAAACAATGCCACCAGGGCCTCTTTGTCTACGCATACCAGTTTGGATTACAAACACCACCAGAAAATTCCTAAAGTTTATAAGAGAGAAATCATTTGCAGCAAGTATGTATGCATAAGAACGAGTATGGACGACAACCGATGAGGGCAACAATTCCTACAGGAGTATATATATGCATCAAGTATTCATCAGTCTGATCAAGAGCCCCCTGAGGCTGAGGCTAACGACATCGCAGATCATGGAGTTCTCGCCGTGCTTGCTTCGAGTAATCATTACAAGGATGGTAAGTATGTAAGGTGACTTGCATCATGCTCTGGTATGTCTCAAGCCTAGTGTCATCACTGCACAAAAGGGGCATATCACCAGGGTTAGTTGCTTACCCCTAAACAGACATACTACATACACTACACTTTCTCTGCACAAGTAGAAGAGGCACAAACTTACCTTGAGTTTTGGCCGTTTGCTGGACGGTTCGACGGCCTCGCCGCTGCTGATGGTACCTCCCTGCCCGCCTGGTCCAGCATTGGACTTATCGGCTGATTCTACACGCAGAACAGCAGAGACAAATACACGAGTGTGATCCATCATGCAATCAAGGAGTCACACCTAAAGAGAGGAGAATGTGGTTGCTCACCCCCTCCGGTCCCTTTTCCATTTTCGCACCCTTGGCAACTGCATTCTAAGGTGCACCTGGCCCCGCGCTTCAGGAAAAGACGAATTTCAGTCAAGATCAGAGAAGCAACAATAGCATGTCTAGTTTCTTAATAGACAAGAATGCAGAACAAGGAAGGACCGTGCATGTAGAGCGCATACCTCCCGGCAACCACAGGTCATGATTTTGCATTTGTTGGATTTGCACGTGCACCCCTTGCCACCCTCATAGGCCTGGAATAAGCGCAACACATTTCTTTCAGGTTCTTGGCAGAGGCCAGAGCAGAATGGTGTTCATGAATGTAGTGTGCTCTAAGAAAGAAGCATATCTTACCAGGTCATACGGATTGTTCTCGCAGCCCTTGCACTTGCATCGCCCATGCATGCAATGCACACCAGCCTTGAAACAACCGCACTTTCTGCACGCAGCATATCAACAAGCAACAGTTAGACAGCAGCACTACCAATCAACTACTACTCCCTTCGAGTTGATTGCATGGATCTGGTTCATATAATTCAACCAGTGTGTCTGTGCGTACAAGTTCAGGCATTTGGTGCTCAAGTTCTGCCATTTGGAGCTGCCACAGCTGCACCTCTTCCGTGCACTATCTACAGCAGCTGACATGACGAGGTATCTCTGCAATGTGATGCACAATTTTTAAGTATGTAGTATCAAACAGATAATACTTGATTGGGAGATAAATCGATTCAGGCATTCGATCAGCTGTAGGTTTTTTTTTGCCCGAAAAACAAAACTAGTACAAATGATAAGTGAAGAAAAAGAACTGTTTCTGTTCAGCTACACAATTTGTGAAGGAGACACCAACTTGCCAACAATTCGTCATTGCAAAGGAGAACAAGTAACTCAAACAATTAACTAGAACTAATTCTGGACGACACATACCATCGACATTCAGGTTCAGCTTTCATCATCACAAAGCAGCAAAGCATCGAAAGCACATCAAGAATCTTTCTTGGAAACGAATAAAATAGGAAGTACTAGTATATACTCCATGCAGTAAGTTAATTCCAACATAACATCCCACAGCACAGCTCATCTTACAGCAGTCTGCATACAAGTTGGGCTAGGAAACTCACTCAAAACAAGTCAGGTGAAATTGCATGCCATTCAGTAAGAAGATCACCAGAGCTCAAACAATCAGCTGCAATATCTACTCATAATACAGTAACGGACAAAATAGTCGTGGCACCATTAGCAAGCATTCACGAACCACACCAGCAACTAACTCAAGTAAACTATATATTATAGCAGATGAACCAACTAATACTTGACTAATTAACTTTGTGGAAGCAACTGAATATTGACACTCAGCAAGGGGAGAGATAAATATAATGGGTTCGGCAACCAATTTTGCTCAGAGACTAAGAAAATCAGAAGGATTTTTTTCTGAGAATCCGCTAAAATAACAGTTGGTAGGATTTTTTTGCTGAGAATACAGTAACAAACAAAAGAGTTGGTGGCACCATTAACAATCATTCATGAATTACACAAATAACTAAGAACCCAAGTAAACTATATATTATAGCAGATGGATCTCAACATCAGCAGATGCAATAAATACATATGGTTTAGAGCAGGAACCAAGAAATTTAATAAAATGAAATAGTTCATTAATTATGCATCCAAGTGCGCCATGCCCATAGAATTTACAGACTATACTCAACAATGAACTAGAACTAATCCGGGAGAACACAGCGCCCACAATCTTGTCTAGGCAGCAAATACATGCATCCACCTACACGGTTGGCATATGAAATAGGCCAGCATTTTACACCATAGGTTGTATTCTGCATTCAACGCAATGCAAGACGAATGTCAATCAAAAGAAGATGAATGCTTGCCTGGAGAATCAGAGCTATTAACTTTGTGAAAGCATCTGTATCCTACAAAACACCCAGTACTTAACACTCAGCCAAGATTGATAGATACATAATGGGTTCAGCAACCAATTTTGCTCAGAAACTAACAAAATCAGAAGGATTTTTTGCTCAGAATACCTAACAAACAATACAGTAGGTGGCACCCTTAGCAAGCATTCATGAATCATACCAGTAACTTAGAACGTGAGTAAACTAGCAAATGAATCTCAACATCAGCAGGTGACTCAGGTACAAATGCAACCGAATGCAGGAAATACATAGTCTATCATCATAAAGGAACATCACAAAACACAGCTCACCCTACAGCAATGTGCACACAAATTGGGTTAAGCAACACACTAAAAACAAGTCAAGTGAAATAACATGCCTCTCAGTAAGATCACCAGAGCGCAAGCAATCACTTGCAATATCTGCTTGGAATAAAGTCACAAACAAAACAGTCGTGGCGCCATCGGCAAGCATTCATGAATCGCAACAATAAGTAAGAATGCAAGCAATATAAATACTCAACAATGAAGTAGAACTAATTCGGGAGAACACGCGCTCAATCTTGTCTAGGCAGAAAATACATGTATCCACCTACACACTTGGCATATGTAATAAGCCAGCATTTTACACCGTAGGTTGCATACTGCATTTGACGCAATGCAAGATGAATGTCAATCAAAAGATGATGAATGCTTGCCTGGAGAATTGAAACTAATTAACTTTGTGAAAGCATCTGTATCCTAGAAAACACCTAGTACTTAACCTCAGCAAGGGTTGAGAGATATAATTGGTTCAGCAACCAATTTCTCAGAAACTATGATAATCTTAAAGATTTTTTGCTCAGAATACGCTAACAAACAAAACAGTTGGTGGCACCATTAGCAAGCAACCATGAATTATACCAATAACTAAGAACCCAAGTAAACTATATATTATAGCAGATGAATCTCAACATCAGCAGGTCACTTAATTAAAAATGCATCCGAATGCAGGAAAGACAGAGTCTATCATTGTAAAGGAACATCACACGGCACAGCTCATCTTACAGCAATGTGCACACAAATTGGGCTAAGCAACGCACTAAGAACAAGTCAAGTAAAATTGCATGCCACTGGGTAAATAGATCACCACAGCACCAAGTAATCAGTTGCAATATCTGCACGGAATACACTAACAAGTAACAAACCAACACAGCCATGGCGGCTCTCCTGATCCATCCAATATCTGCTCGAAAATTCAGAATACACTAGCAACTAGCTAAGAACTCAAGTAATATGCCTAATAACTAAGAACAGAACATCCGGTAGCCCAGGACGCGAATCCCGATCCCAAATCCCGGCCAAAATTAGCAGAAACGATATGTCGGACAAGAGGACTTAGCAGAAACATTCCCTGCCAAAAACAGTTCACCGCACAACCTTCCCTGCCAAAATCCCCATCCCAAATGCGAACGTCCGCCGCGGAGCGTACGACACCGGGCCGGAAGCGCGGGCCCTCCGTCGGCCGATTAACTGCTGACTACGAGCAGGGGACTGCGCTGCTGCGGGGGTCGGAGAGGGGGAGGGAGGTGGGGGCGCGCGCTTCTCACCTGCACCTGCGGGCGTGCGGAAGCGGGAGGAGCGTCGGATTCTGCGGCGAGGGAGTCGCCGAGCTCGCGGAGAGGAGGAGGCGGTGCCTGCGGCTGCGACGAACAACGGAACGGGGGGAATGCTCGTCAGCTCAACGGAACAAAACCCTAGGCGGAGGAGGCGGAGGGGGAGGGGAGCGGCGAGAGGAGGCCGGCGGCTCACCTGCGGGCGGAGACGCGACCGATGCCGACGCCGACGCCGGCAGCGGGAAGGAAGCGAAGCGAAGCGAAGCAAAGCAGCACCGCCTCCTCCGCGGCTCCGCCTCGGCTATAAGCCAAACGAAACCAAAGGAGGAGCCTCGTTGGTTGGGCTGGGCTGGGCTCGGATCCCCGACAGCAAACTAAAAAGGCCCCAAGACTGGCTCTTCCTTATATCTCTCAAAAAAATTACCCTAAAAAGTGTCTTAAAATTTTATTCCAAATCCTAAATTTGTCAAATTTTTAATGTGAACTATTAGTTTAGAGTGAATTAAAAATTATTTAGAATTTCTATGATTGATTCATCTTAGCTAGTGGTGACTAGGAGTTGATTGAATTGATTGATACCGTGGCTCAAAATAATTCTGGCGACTAGGAATTGATTGAATTTATTGATATTGTGGCTCAAAGTAATTCTGGTGACTAGGAGTTGATTGAATTGATTCATCTTAGCTGGTGGTGAAATTCCGGCGAGCTACTCCACCCTGAGCCCGACCTCACCACCATTATGTCCCCCTCTCATTAGCGCATTGTCTGGATACCAGGCGCACGTCCGGAGATGCCCCGGAATATGTCCACGACGACACCCGAGTCGCATCGTCATCATGCCATTGATTCCGGCAAGGTAAATGCCAATTTGACCTTGTCGTCGTGACCCTCGTGTTCGTCACGACCGACCATACACCCTGACCAAATTGCCTGTCCAGGAGTGCTCGAAATCGAGCTGGACGACCACACCCGAAGCTTGCTGACGAGCACGCAACTCGGGCGAGCCCTAGCCATCGCCTCATCGTGGACCCCCGAGCTCGCCAAAGGTTCGACTTCCAGTTGGGATAGAATTCTTTGCTAAACGCTAGAAAAAACTTCTCGTCTTAGCAGGAATGTTGGCCCTCCACAACTTGATCCATTGATTCTGAGAACCTCTATCCGAATGACTTGACCGGTTCTCTAACCAATCTTCCCTCCAACGCTTCGTATCCAAATAGTTGTTGGCCGACTTCATCGAGAAGTTACCCGACTATTCATACCAACAGTCTTTTGTTGCAATCATCCTCATAGGTATATTGAGTATGGTTTGTGCATTCATAGGACAGATATGTTCATTGATGACAACACCATTCGATTGCCTTGACGGACCATCAATCAACACCGAAACAACTGTTGGTGATTAGTAGAAACCGGTTATAAAGACCACATCATATTATCGTATGGTAGCCAGTTATGATTCCAGATATTTGCTGACTCTCCATCATCAATTCTCTTAACTAATCCATGTTTAAATACTGACATCCCTGCATGAATAGCGCAACACGCTTGCCGAGGGTGGTTGCCAAGCTCTAAATCAAGAATATCTACAAAGGGGTAACAAAAAACTTTCAATACCTTCGCACCAAGTGACGTAGGCTCTTGTAGAATTTTCCATCCATGCTTCGTCAACATGGCCAAGCTAAAAAGCTCGGTATTACAAAAACCCCAACCGCCTATATACTTTGGCATTGTCACATCCTCCCATGAGACCCACACAGTTTTCCGCAATGCCATCCTTAAATCCCCAATAATTTTTCATGAGTGTGGTGTTAATATGATTACATAAAACTCTTGGCATTATAAAGCATAACATGGAGTACGTGAGGATTTGTTGCACTACCGACTTGATCCAAATTTATTTTCCCAATGATGGCATAGACTTATCAATCCACCCTTGCGGCTTCGCCCATATTTAGTCCTTGAGGTATTGAAAAGATTCATTGTTGCACCTCCCCACATCAGACAGTAAACCAACATACGATTCAACTGTATTGTAGGCGATTTGGCTATGTAGAAATTGTTAGGTTTTTTAGGAGGGTTATTTTCTGTTGTACGCACTCGCTTCATACGTGGTCTACGCTATACCGAACGCAATGTCATCCATAGTTCAAGTCGGTATGTATGTGGTTGGAGCGGGTGGCCAGGGAGGTTTTACCCAACATGGTTGGTAGCATAATCTCCGGATCGGTCCACGACTTCATTCGACATAGGCATAGTGTCGGTCCTATATGACTCTACTATTGTCGATATTTCAGCCTTTTACCGTCTCTTAGTTTGTTCTGGGTGTTGATCATCAACGTTTTGCATCCGCCTGATGCTACATTTTGAGTTACTAAAAACGCCCTTTATTGAAAAATCAAAGGGCATCCTATACAAATGAAGGCATAATG